TTCAAAGATTGATTGATTGATTGATTGATTGCCTGCCCACCTGACTTTTTCGTGGAACCACAACTTCCAGAGTCTCCAGCTAACCTGATTCTCTTAAATTGCACCCACATACCATAGAATAGTGCAGTGATGGCTAACCTTTTTGCCGTCGCGTGCCAGAAGTGGGGGGAGCGTGGGGGGTCACGGGTGCGTGTGCCTACATCCATAATTCAATGTGCCCTGTTCTCCCGCGCATGTGCACGTGACCCCCCACTTCCCCCTGCTTTTGGCACGTGATGGCACAGTGGGCCCGGTAGGCCCATTTTTCCCCCTCCCCAGGCTCCAGAGGCTTTCTAGGAGCCTGGGGAGGGCAAAAACAGCCTTCCCCATCCCCTCCCAGAGGCCTTCCAGAGGCCGGAAACAGCCAGTTTCCTGACTTCCGGTGGGACCCGAAGGCCTGAAAATCAGTTGGCCGGTGCACACATGCGCGCTGGAGCTGAGCTAGGGCAACACTCACGTGCCCACCAATATGGCTCCGCATGACACCTGTGGCACCCGTGCCAAAGGTTCGCCATCACGGGAATAGTGTATTCTGACTGGCCCGCTCAGGTGTTTCAGTTGGTTATTTTTCCTAAAAAGGATAAACCATGTCTTGGAGTGACGGTGGAGGTGGGTAGCTTGGGGTGAGAATGGAGTTGCATGAATCTATGGAGAGTGTTGAATTTTGTACAATTGCTTGTCAACTTTTTATCTTAGGTGTTTACTTTACTCTTCCCCACCCCCATAATTTTAAGGTCACCTATTGACCCTTTGTAGCACCACAAGGCTATTTTCATGAAGCCCAGCCTGCCAATTCAGTAGCATCTGTCTATCGTGTTATTCCAGAGCAATATGCTGGGTCAGCAAAATGGCATTGTGTGACCGTATGCCAGCACTGCAGTCTTTCTGCTTGGCCTACACATTTACTTGCTGAAGTGGCAATTCATAAGTTACGGCTGCCGATGTTTTATGCCACTCCAGGTATCTACAGCATGTACCACCCGTTTGTACCCTTCTCCCCTTCGTTTCTTCAAGCTGTTTGTTTTGTGCACAATTTGAGGACAGTTCATAATTGTTTGTGTGTAGTGTCGTAAAAAGGTTCAAAGATCCAGGGCAGCTTTCTCCACCCATGGAGACAATGCTGTAATCAGTAATACTGATATCTAGCATTTCTAAATGGCTTTGGAAATTACTGTCAGTGTTTGAGCACAAAATTTCAGGAGCATGAGGTGGCATCTAATATATTCAGTTCTGCTCCACATTGGATCTGGCATTGGCAGTCCAAAGGTCCATGGGCATTTTAGATTGGCTGAATGTTGATCAGCATCTATGGGAGTTTGTAAGTTGTTACACTGTGTATGATTCTACATGCACCAGGCAATTGGATATTCCATGATTCAAATGTTTTTCAATCTGTGAATCTTTTAATATCAGAAAACAACCAGTTTGGATAAGTAGATTAGGCTACCCCTGACTTCTGCAAAATTGTGCACTTCAGAGTCATTGTGAGGAATTTACAGCCAATTTTACTCAGCAGGTTTGGGGAACTTGGCTAAGTAACTGGAAACGACTCTTCCGTTATCACTGAAGTGCAATTTTTCTTAACTTAGCTCCAAAGAAAGCACAATTGTGGTTATAATCACAGAATGTGATTATATTAACTCAGTAAGCTGGGTTTCCAAATTATTCTCATGGATTGTTTACTGGCCTGCTAGCAATAGTGCAACAGAATATGATTTATAATCCCAGTGGAACTCTTTTTATTTAGAGGTATTTATTTTTGATTTGCTGACATTTACAAACCATTAACATGGAATAAGGTGGAAGCTTGACAAGGGCAGATGGCTACATTCACAGCAATTTTGAAATGAAATGATTGATTTATCAAAATAACACTCCTAGCTATCTTAGGGTAGCCTAGTTAATCTGAATGCTGGCTTTGTCTACCCAAAAGACATGAGAGAATGAAGCCATTGGTTTCATTTGTTGATGATTTCATTTCTTAGCTTTTGGGGGAGGCTACATCGAGCCCTTTATTATTTTATCACATTAAGCCTTTCTAACCAAACAGGAACGACTGTTCAGTGGAAGCTACTCATGAACAGAAACAGAACCAATAGACACTGCATTGTCATTAACAAGCAGGGTTAGTCATGGTTAATTTAGTTGTGAAATGATCAGAAAACCCCAGGTTTGTGGATTAGGCTGGGAGGTTGAAAAGGGGGCATTGGCAAATTACTTCCATAGTGCTTACATACCGTGTTGTCCTGAAAATAAGACCCTGTATTATATTTTTTTGAACCCTGAAATAAACACTTGGCCTTATTGCCATGAGCTCAAAAGCCTGATTGGGGAGTTTCCGGTTGGCGTCGTGACATCTCAGATGGGGAATTAGCGGGAGCCCCGCAAAAAACCCCATCTGTTAAGCCACCGCAGGCAGGTCGATGGACCTACCCTGTCCTGTAGGGATAGGGGGATAGAGAGGGACCCCTTGGATGGCTTGACTTTGGACATATAATCTGTGTACTGGAGGATTTATTGAAGATCAGAAAGAAGAAACTAAATGGAATAATGAAAACTGATTTAATAAGCGTGGCAACAAGAGAAAAAGGGCGTGGCAACAAAAGAAGGACATGATGATACTATATATGGAATAGCCAATTCAGAATTAACTTTATAGAACTTATAACTTTGAGGACATTGAAATGGAAAATAAATATACTCAGACAGATTGGAGAAAGAAAAAAAAAGGAATATATTATGTAACAAGATAACAAAATTCCATAGTTTGAATTAAATTTACGAGACCGCCTTCTGCTACCAATAGCCTCTCCCCGACCAGTATGCTCCCATAGAGAGGGGCTTCTCAGGGTGCTGTCGGCCAAACAGTGTTGACTGGCGGCCCCCAGGGGGAGAGCCTTCTCTGTGGGGGCACCTACCATCTGGAACGAGCTCCCCCCAGAGATACGGAGGATCCCGGATCTGTGCACGTTTTGTCGTGCTCTCAAAACTTTTTTATTTCAGCAGGCTGGCCTGGCCTAACTCTCCTCTTTTAAATTTTTAATTTGTTTGATTTTATAAATTGGGTGTTTTAATCTGTGTTTCGCCCAAAATATTTAATAATTTTAAGGGACTTTTAATATTTGTATTATCTGTATTTTATCTTGGCTGTTCACCGCCCTGAGTCCTCCGGGAGTAGGGTGATATAGAAATTTGATTAATAAATAAATAAATAATAAATAAATGGATGTAATGGTGTCTGGGAGTTTGATGTCTGAATAATTTTAGAAGATACTTTCCTTCTTCTCTTTGCTCTTTCTCTATTTTTTCTTTCTTTTTCCTTTTTCTTTTTTGTCTCTTTTCTCCTCTCTATTTTTTCTAATTCTCTTTTCAATTTCTTTTGTTATATTTCTATTCCTTTTCCTTTTTTATTTTTGTTTCTTTTCCTTTTTTATTTTAACTATTATTAATATTGTTACTATTCTCTCTCTTTTTTCACTATTTTTATTAAAGTTGATTTTATGAATATACAAACAATTTGATTAGAAAAAAAGAGTATAAATGATTGAAAAACATGATTTTTGGATGTCTTAATACCTTTTTAAATTTGGAATTTTTAAGCTCTATTTACAGACCTAATAATTTAAAAGAAAATGTTTTTCAAGATGCTGGACATTAAAAAGAATTATTTACAGATTTAATAATTATAGAAAATTGATCTTAAAGTGATTCAAAATGTTGATACTTATTGGAAATAAGCATGGCACGGGAGAAAGCCTAGGAGAGAATAGGAGTTAAGATATTTGTTGATATACTTTTTTATCTTAAATTACTTAAAGATATGGAGGAGAATGGATTTAAAAATAAATATGAGTAATACATTGTGAATTAATTTAAAGCTAAATAATTGAATAAGAGATGTAGAAATGGAGGAGAGCATAAAGCTGGACAATAATTAAAATAAAATGCTATGAATCAGTTAAATGAAGTTAGGAGTGGAGGGAAGCATGATTCTGGAGAATAGTGAAAGTAAAGCTGTGATCTAGTCTTACAAATAAGGTAGGAGTGGAGGAAAGCATCATACTGGAGAACAGTTAAAGCAAAACTGGGAACCAGTTAAAAATAAAAATAAGAGCTAGGAGTGGAGGAAAGCACATGCTGGAAAACAGCTAAAGTAAAGCTGTGAACCAGCCAATAGAGTTTGGAGTGGAGGAAAGCATACGCTGGGTAACAGTTAAAGCAAAACTGTGAACTAGCCAAACAATAAAAAGTTAGGAGTGGAGGAAAATATACCTGGAGAGCAACTGAAATACAGTTGTGAACCAGTTAAAAATAGAGGTTGGAGTGGAGGAAAGCACTGCTGGAAAGCAACTATTTGACCTGCGAACCAGTTTCATAATAGATTTAGGAGGAGTGAAGGAGATAACGTTGGTATGCAGTTAAAATTATACTGTGAACCAGCCTAAATAAGGTTAGGAGTGGAGGAAAACATCGCTGGAAAGCAATTGATTAAGATGTGAACCAGCCAAAAAATAAACCTAGGAGGAAGTGGAGGAGATAATACTGGAGAATAGTTAAGCCAAACTGTGAACCAGTTAAATAAATAGAGATAGAAATGGCGGGAAACACTGTTGGGAAATAGCTATTTAAATTATGAACCAGTTAAATATTAGACTTCAAAATAAAGTATTTTGGGAGTGACAGATTTTAGATGGAAATGTTGATTGATTTAGAAACGATTAAGAGAGGAGGAAAATATTCTTTGTCAAGATTATGGATACTAGCTGCCATTTAAGAGAGGTACAATATAGATTCGATGTAATGGGTCTTAGAAATGAGGAATATATATGAAATATTGATTGTTAAAATGACAAAGATTTGGAATGATGTCTGTTTGGAAATAATTGTCTAGAATTTAGGGTGACATAGTAGAATGATAAATGTTTAGAATAAGATTTTTCTTTTTCTTTTCTTTTTTAAAGATGTAAATGGATAAAATTTGGAACAAAACTGATTGAGGGAATGTGAGTAATTGTATTTACTTTATACCGGATCAAATCCTTTCTCTAAAAAAGTGTATTTTATGTTTTATGTTTAAAAAAATAAAAAACTTTTCAAAAAAAAAAATCCCTGATTGGGCTTATTATCAGGGGATATTCCAAGAAACTGCATAGATGTATCTAAGTGATCACAAATTTAATTAAAGGGAGTCTTTACAATTCAGACCGGAAAGTTGATGTTATATATAGACCAATGTATAATGATTGGAGTTACACATTGCACTTACACATGGTTTGCTTAACCAAAGGCTATTGAGTTGGCCACAATTGGGTGGGTTACCATGACACTAAGCCCTAAATTACAAATCGCAATAGCATGTTGCACAAACATTACCTACTATACATTTCATTTGAAGAACAGAGAAGATAGCTGAGATTATAATAACTAGCGGCAGTGATTGTCAGTTCTTACAGAAATGTAAACATGGCTTGTCGTTTCTGCTCAGGTTTTCATATGAATTTCCTGTAGAATCAATAACATCTGTTTCCACTTGAAAAAAAAGTGCGAAAGAGTCATACTGTTCTGGATCGTGCATAAATGTATGGCAATTTTTTTTTCATTTCACACAAGACAGTTTGTGCTGTGTTTGTTAAATTTTGTTTGACACTTTCACTATTCTTCTGCTACAGTAGTTTGTTTATCCAGCCTGGTTTTCTACCAACATCTTCAAGGTTATTGTGTCGGTGAAGAGGAAAACGATATGGAAAGAATAGATTACATTGCTATTAACAAGGAAAGAGGAACAAGAAAGGTCTGGCTTTTTCTAAAAGCCCAAAAGATGGGTATGCAGCACAGTTCCTGAGGGAGCATATTCTGTAACCTTAAACAGTGTAGGAGAATTCTACATTAGCGTGTTGCAATCCCATGCTAGGGGAATACTAACTTCCAAATATTTGCAGTGGTAACATTAATAAAGTTAAGATTTTTTAAAAAAAACATTTGGACCTTTGAAGGTGTGGAGAGAATTTAGCACATCATTAATGCTCCGAAGTGTTATATTAAAGCAACGACTTTATTAAGTCCTGTGCAATTGTATAAAACAATGCATAGCCTCTTGAATTTCCAATAATGCTTTATGATACAAGTTGATTCATAAATCAGAACAATGAGAACAGGAAAAAAAATGGATAGATTCTTGCAGTCCAGCAGGTTCTGGAGAACCGGTAGCGGACATTTTGAGTAGTTAGGAGAACTGGTAAATACCACCTCTGGCTAGCCCCAGAGTGGGGAGGGAATGGGGATTTTGCAGTATACTTCCCCTAGAGTGGGGAGCAAATGGAGATTTTGCAGTATTCTTCCCCACCAAGGAATGCCCACCAAGCCACGCCCACAGAACCAGTAGTAAAAAAAATTGGATTTCACCACTGCTTGCAGTGGATTAGAATATAAATTACTCCTTAGATGCAAACATGGGATAAGCTTCTGATAAGAATTCTCCAAAAAGTGCAGGGAAGGAAAACAGGAGAATAAATTTTGATCCTCCATTTCTGGAAATACAAAATCCAGCCGTTAAAGTCAACATTATTTCTTTCATTAACAAGATAAATATAACCTCTGTCCAGTAGAAAACAAAAGAGGTCTTATTTGCTAAAACATTATTAACAAAACTGGAGATAATGTAAGATCTTGTATTAAATGAAAATGATAATTTGAAGCCAAATGAGATAGGACTCTCTAGCAGTGACTTTTAAAACATGACTAAATTTTTAGTGTCATTTATGTCTACGTATTTCACACATATTCACATGAATCAGTGAAAGTATCCAATGTTTAATATAAAATATTGCTTAAGTACTGAGCAAAAGTAACCCTTTCACATCAGATATGTATCCTGAGGAAGAACATGCCAAATGAGAATCAGATATACATTTATTGTGAAATAAAATATTTCTGAAGAAAGGTTTTTATTTTTTTTTAATTTTTTTATTTTATTGGATTTCTATACCGCCCTACTCCCGAAGGACTCAGGGCGGTGAACAGCCACAGAATAAAATGCATAGATACAAAATTTAAACTAGAATAAAAACAAATTAAATAATTTGGCTGAGACAAATTTAAAATACCCAATAATTTAAAAACAAATTAAAATTTACATTTAAAAGGGGAGAAGGTTTAGGCTAGGCCAGCTTGATGAAATAAGAAAGTCTTGAGCGCGCGACGGAAGGTGCGCAGATCCGGGATCCTCCGTATCTCCGGGGGGAGCTCGTTTTGAAATATAGCTACCCCAAAACAGGATGTCTTCCAGAAGACAAATTCTTTCTTGACTTCACCAGTTTGTTGAGTCTTTGCCTGATGTAATATTGTCTAGATTTGGTTTAATAAGAACTGAGTTTATGCTATTCTTTGGTTTGTCATGGGTCAGGCATTGTCATCCTTGATATTCATGCCATTCTCAGAGCTGGCTCTAGAGTTATTCAATTACTAATAGCAGAACTAGGACAATCAGATTTTATCTAGGAACTTGCATCTGATAGCTGTCATAACTCCATTTCTCCCCTCAAGCAAGGAGAGACTTCTGTAATGCCCAAACAGAAATTAGTTGACAGGAGCTTAGGCACCATTTTTGGCTGAGACCAAGTGAACATCAGAAACTGTCTTTAGGCATTTGGGCAAGATTTTGTTTAAATTCTGCTCAAGAAAGGCAAGACTGACTTTGGAAAAGAACAAAAGAAATGGTGGGCGTTCTAAAAATAGCATTTCTACCGTATCTTTGTTAAATGGCTTTTAATTTTAACTATTTTTTTTTTACTGCTCTGTCCTTTAAGCAGCTCTAAAAAGGTTTAATTTAAAATAGTCTAAAATATGATTAGGAACTTCTAAACCAATTTTCACCTAGTTGAGAAATGTGAAAGTATTGAGACTAGCGACTAATTGTCTATAGTCAAGCTTTCTAGGAGGAGTTGATGAAATACCAGCAAAGCTATTTAAATACTTGCAAAATAATGCAGTGAAAGTACTAATTGTAGTCTTCAAACAGATACAGACAACATAGCAGGAGTTAAGAGACTGGAAAATATGAATTTATATTCTAATGCAGATGCCTCCAACCTTTTGGACACCAGGGGCCAGTTCCATGGAGAAAGGTTTTTTCGTGGACTGGAGATGGCCTGGTTTAATGTGCTGCGTGCATCCCATAGAGGGGGCTTCACTTGTTTGCGGGGTCCAGTTTCTGGCATGTTGTAGACCAGTGCCAGTCTATGGACCAGGGGTTAGGGACCCCTGTTCTAATAAAAAAAAAAAGTACTAAAGCAATTGACCAATGCTAAAGAATACAGTCTTTATGACTGGTTGCATAGCAACCATTCAGAGTTATGACAGGACCACCCCCTGTCCAAGTGTCTATGGAGATTTTCAGTCATCCAGGTCATGGTTGTCCCAAAAGTGCTTTTCCGAAAGGCAACTGGACTTCCCCCTTGAAAATGTTTCACTTCTCATTCAAGAAGCTTGTTGGATGAGAAGTGAAATGTTTTTGAGGAAAAAAGCAAGAAAGTTCAGTTGCCTTTTGGAAAAACACTTTTGGGACAAACCCCCTCCCCTCCCCCCCAAAGCAACTTGTTGCTTGGTTCTGAAAGGACAATGTTAGTCTTCCCCCTATGGTAATCTGACCATATTTTGGGCACTCAGAAACCAGCCCATATTAGGCCCATTTGCAGCACACCATGGTAATGTGGTTTAAATTTTTTTCCCCCTGAAGTACAGAAAAGAAAAATAGAAAGAAAAAAAAAAGAATAAAGAAAAAGAAAGGAAATATATTTAAAAATGATTCCCGCTTTCACCCACAAGAATAAACAATTTTAGTAACTTACCACCTTCTCTTAAAATAAAACAAATTATCTCTTTTTCTTGTATCTCATCTCTTATCTATAAACAAATCAGTGGTGAAATTTAAAATTTGTTACTACCAGTTCTGTGGCCGTGGCTTGGTGGGGGGATAATGTGACTGGGTGGGCGTGGGCAATTTTTTAAAAAAACTTTTAAAACCATTTTTTCTACAACCTCTTCAGCGGTTGTAAAAAAAAATGCTTTCAAAAGGCTCTGACGATCCCAGCTGAGTTGCCTCAGAGGCTTTTTTTCTTTTAAATGCCTCTGACGATCAGGCAACTCAGCTTGGATCGTCAGAGGCATTTAAAAGAAAAAAAGCCTCTGATGATCGCACAGCTCAGCTGGGCATGGGGGGCAGGAATTTTTGCTACCGGTTCTCTGAACCACCCGCCTCCATCGCTACCGGATCTGGCAATCTGGTCTGAACCGGGAGCATTTCACCCCGAAACAAATCCTTAAAGTCGCCTCATTTCAGTCAGTTCATAGGTTCTAAAAGCAGAAAAGCAGTTAATGACTCATATTTATGACAGTTGCAGAGTCCTGGGGTCATGTGATCAACTTTCACAACCTTCTGACAAGCAAAGTCAACGCAGAATTCAAAGTCACTTAACAAGCATGTTACTAACTTAACCACTGCAATGATTCGCTTAACAACTGTGGCAAGAAAAGTCATAAAATGGGACAAACTCACTTAACAAATGTTTCATTTAGCAACATAAATTTTGGGCTCAATTATGGTTGAAACTTGAGGACTACCTTTACCTCCATTTAAATCATTCTAGGGAATACATTCATTTTTATCAAAGATTCTATTAAACAATGACAATTTTTCCTGGTGGCAACAGTAATGACTGGGTTCACATAACATACTATGCCAAGGCATGATTTGACTTTGGTTCACTGTCTTGTGTTAATCCAGCCACTGCAAACCTAATCAACTGTACCTTATTTAATAACTATAATTAAACTATATAATAGTTTAACTATAATTAAACCATTTATAGTTTAACACGATATGTAAGCTAAACCTGCATCTTAAAGGGTTCAGGTTCAATTTTCTGTTCATGTTTTCTAACCAGTTTCTTGATGAGAGAAATAAACAAAATAGTCATTATAGTGTATTAGGTGGCGGACAAGAGTA